GGGGGGGGGGGGGGGGGGGGGGGGGGGGGGGGGGGGGGGGGGGGGGGGGGGGTAGAGTGTTGAATATTTCTGCTCCTGACCGCTCGATCGGGAAGTTGGGCTCCGGGTACACGCGTTTGCCGTTGCTGTTTTTGACGGGGTCGTTGGCGGCTAGCATCTCATCGATATCCTCGCCGGTTGCCTTCGGGTCTGCAGCGGCAGCTCCCTGATCCGCAGAGGAAGGACCGCCAGCACTAGCCTGTGAGGACTGTGAGGCCTGTGAGGCGTCGGCAGGTCCCGCGCTTGCACCCTCCGACATCGTAGCCGCGCGTTGCGTGTGGTCGAGCCCGCAGCTCCGTCCCGGACATTTTCCCGATTTTCCGCCGGTATTTCTCCGCCACGGAACTGTTGTGGTGGCAATTCCCCGAGACTCGTTTGTGTGTGCAGCTACCAGCTTGTCTTTTGGTTGTGTTGTGATCGTGTTGCAGCAATACCATACACGCGAAGTGCTGCTATCCCCTGTGGTTTTCAATGTTAGGATCGCACACATCGGGGTCTTGGCACAGGGGTGTGCGTTCGAAAGTCGCCGAACCAGCCGCTTTGGATTTAACCCTTTCGTGACTGACATAATTTGTTTTTGTTCCCCACAACTGGCTCTCTGCGCTCAAAAGATCTTCCACGCATGCGTGTAAACCCATATCACGGCGGCAAGGATGGTGCAGCATTGGGTCCATGTGTGGGGCTCACAGGGATGGGAACGCGGTATATGTAAGGGTGACGAACAGGAGTACAGTAGTATCGTACTACTGTACAGCAGTAGCAGCTATGCGGAGAGATGAAGACTCCAGACTACAGCAGCAGTAGTTTCTGAGCTTGTTGTGTGCATGCCTGTATCCGACAGCAACCGTCCGCACAGAGAGGATGCACCTGTGCAAGCAATACCTGATGGCACATCTTCTCCACCTTATCCTTGGACAGAGCATACGGCAAGCGCATATGCTCGCGGCGCTAGATGCGAAGACCATGGCGAGTAACCGCCTCACAGAAGCGCCAGATCGACGAACAAAACGGCCCGCTCATCAGAGAATCGAGACCATCATCCACGAACTACCGCACAAAATGCATGAAAATCGTGATAACATTCACTGTTCTGTACTACAAATGGAGAGCTGTGATCGGAGCTGTGATCGGAGCTGTAGTCCCGAACACCCTTGCCTTCGAGCAAAATTGTGCACACAGCAGACGAACCACCCTTCACTCCCAATACTGGGAACCACACGCATCGCAATCACAACAACATCAAGCACCAAGGTAGTACGTTAGCATCAGCTCCGGTGTGCGCTTTCTCTGCTCTCCCCCGCGGATGCGGCACTTGGTTAATCACATGTACCCTCCGGTGGTATTTTGCGTTTGAATCTTAACAGTACCGGTAGGAAGTAGATTGGATCTGGAAAGGATATCTGCCCCACGTCAGAGAGATTGTTGTTGTTGTTTTTCTTCACATCACACTCGTGTCAGTTGCTAATCCCACAATCTAGCAAAGACTCGGTCCGCGGTAAGAAGAAAGCTAGAGCCATCAGAAGATCTAAAGGACACACACACCATTAGCAAGAAAAGGGTACACATGCCCGAGGAGGTACACCTACAATCCCTGGAGCACGTTCGTTTGCGTGCTCACAACTGAACTACACGCCCACACCACAATTCGACTACTTACAGCAGCAGCATCACCCCCCTTGTCCCGCATTATACCAAAATGTTTGTTTGTCGACTACAGCGTACTGCTGTCTGAAGTGCTGTCTGTACAATACTAACACCATGGTGCATGGTACACAAGCTCGGGGCATGCAGCTGCTGTCTGAAGTGCTATCAGAATGAGTTTGTGGACATACAGTGAAGAACCCCCAACCAAAGCCATCATTGCAATTGACAATCACCCGAATCTATCCAGATTATCTGTGTTAGGCACGGCAGTGTAAACATCGACACTGACTAGGAATCGTTCCACATTGAAGGGGTCTTCCACGATGCAGGTACACAAATAAGGCACCCGGGTTATCCGCGCCATCTCTGCCACGTCTCTCTATAAAACCAGTGACTGACGTCATCACACACACCCAACACCTATTTTCAGGAAAAAAACGGGAAAAAATTGACTACACAAGAGATGTTTGTCCGTGCGCCACGGTTCGATGCCGTCCGCATGCTCCGGTTCCGCTGCTCCGGTGCCGCTGCTCCGGTGCCGCTGTGGCCAGTCCTAGCACGACCAAACTCGACCCGCTCCGCTTCTTACACGCTCTCGTTGCTGTCCTTCCCAGTCGGTTCCTCGCTTTCTCCCTCTCATTGCACTTACGGTTCTTGGTCTGAAAATTCTCGCGCCGAAGGGTCAACCAGCCCAATCAGCTCGTCACCACCTGTCCCCTCCTCCTTTGATGGCAAAACCAGGTTACTGAGACAGTACAGCTCCCTCTAGCAAACCTAGGGCCGTGTACATAGTGCCCGTCCACCTTTCTGATGACGTCTGCCTCCGCGCACAAAGATGAGATGGGCATTGCTGCCTACACCGACNCCTGCTCGCTAGAAAGACTCCCCCCTCGCTATGGGTCATGCCTACGCAAAACCTTCCAGAGGCAGCGAGGGGAAGAAGGGGAAGTTAGGCATGGGTGAACAGTAATGTACAATGTGAGTCCTGTGCGCATTGCTGATCAGCGTGCTTTTGGGGTGGGCTACCTGTGTCGCCCTGCTGGTCTCTATGTATGTTTTTTGCTCTTAGCCGAGGCACAACGGCGATCTTTTGACACGCAAAGTGATCGGAGCTGAGTGTTTGACGTACTCACAGCATCGACAGATTATTGCAAGCAAGAAATTTCCGAGCAGGTGGAGCGGGGAGTTTGGGGATTCAGCAGTTGCTTTGGATTCGATTTGATGGTACCAACTTTGCCATATATTACAGGATTGAGGGTGGGGGTATGTGTGTGTCTACAACGGATATGGTGATTGTGTGTTGTGGTTTCTCACTTGTTATTTTTTTCCTCTTTTTCCTCCTTCCTGTGTGCAATAAATTTTAATTCCTTTTTCCCCGGCTACCACGCTTCCACGGCTATCACGCCACGACTTCCACGCCAATCCTGGCTATCACGCCACTCGGCGATCACGCCTTCCGGACATCAACGTCCTTACATATTCCTTTACACCACGACTATCACGTCACCAGGCTTCCACGCCACATCCAGAGATACCATACCCGAGCCATCACGCTCCACCCCAAAGTAGAAGGCTGTCACGCCCATTAGTTCCTACACTGTACCGTTGGCGGCTACCGCGCCGCTGGCTTTTTTATTTCCCACCCAAGGGACCCCGCGCGCCAAGGCACCGACGCACAAAGCTACTCAACACGCTAGCGTAACGATCAAGAGAGTTATCGCCGTGTCTAACATGCCGGACGGAGACGGAAGACAACCTCCGGGGGATCAGGTCAGGCTGTCCCTGCCCCCGGGGAAGGCGTCGCGGACGGAAGAGGGAGCGATTATTTCTTCGTCAACGATGCACGAGACCGAGGGGGTGCGCGAGCGGCAGGAGGGGAAGATCAGCGCGACACGATGCGTGAGCTGGTTGACCTCTTCAAGCAGGCCTTCGCGACATCAACTCATGACCAGGGGCACCGTGCCCACTCAGGCACGTCTAGCAACCAGATTTTAGAACTGAGGCAGAGAGAAATGATAGATGTACCAGCATGGAGGGATGACTATCTGAAGAACAGATCGATCGAAGTCGCACTGCGAGTGTTCACGAGTGCTTTTGAAGCGTGCCTGGAGAGTGAGGGACTTGTTGGTGTGATGAGGAGTTCAGAGGTCCCTGTTGGGGCAGCTCCTGTTGTGGATTTGAACTGGTTGAGGAGCACGTTCGGAGAGGAGAGAGTGAAGCAATCCAGGAAGATTTGGACGTTTATGCTAGCAAAGATCACAGCACAACCCGTACAAGCCCAAATCTTGGCATCAGAATCACCTCAAGCAGGGTACCGCGTGTTTCTCGAACAATACAGCCAAGACAAGAGTCAGGAGCGACAAACTCTTGACGACGCATGAAACGTAATAGGCCGGAGGCAAGGAGCGAGTCTTATGGACTATTACGGTAGGGCCGTTGCGCTGTGGATGAGACTTCGATCGAATGGTGATAACAGCGATAAAAAATCGATGTGCAGGCACATCGTCCGGGGATTTCTCCCAAGGTTTGAGGAAACTAAAGACCGTCTTCTGTTTGATTCGATGTTGTCGAGGGCTACAATGCAGGAGATGCTGAGGTTGGAAGAGCACGAGCTGAGGTACGAGCGGAGAGCTGGAGAGGGGAAGGAAGAGATGAGGCAGGCCCTTGTCGCTGCCGGCGTGGGCCGGGGCGGCGGGGCGGGGAAACCAGCCGCTGCAGGATTGGAGCAAGGCGGACATCGACTCCAGCAACCACAGGGGTCGGTGCAGCCACATCAGCAACAGCCATCGCACTTCTGCCAGCTCCACGGCCCCAACAGCACCCACGAGACCTCCGAATGTCGCAAGTTACGCCACGAATTACTCGCCCACTACAACGAGTTCTGCGCGTACATGAGGGGGAGGCGGGAGGCCCAGGGGTCGGTCTTCCCTCGAGGCGGAGCTCAAGACTCGGGGCGGATGGTTGGTGGCCCATCTTGACAGCAGCCGTACCAAAATGAACAAGGTGCGGGCTGGAGTGGGGGTCACTCTCCAGCGCTGCCGGGACCGCCGCGTGGGCTAGGATCCGAAGCTGGAGGACAACTGCAGGGGCGCAACTCTGGGGGGCGTGGGTATGGTGGATACGATCCTTCCCCCCCGGAGAGCCGAGGTCGTCAGGTGGGCGGCCGTGGTGGTAACTATCCGCCGCCCAACGTTTCCCACGCGCAGATTGCTAACGTACCGCGGCCCTATTTTCCGGCTCATTTCGCAATCGGAGGTGGAGAACCATCAGGCGGCTACATCACCTCGGAATGGGAGGCCACGTCAGCGCCCGGATCTACACCCAGCTGGACCCCACCACGTCCTGAGGAAGGCTACGGGTACGGGCTCGCGGCTCACGGAGTGGACCATGGCGGAGGTCCCTACGGCAGCGCCGCCGGCGGGGGATACGGTTTCCACCAATTGCCCGACGGCGGAGGGCTTTGCCAGCAGCAAGAAGTGAGCAATGTACAACACGTTCCTTCTGCTGCCGCACCGGACGCCCAACAACCGCGAGCCTAAGAGGTCTTCGACACCTAGCAGCAGCATCAGCAGCAGCAGCACTACGGTGCACCTCAGGCGACCTCTACCTCCTCCTCTCCCTCTCCAGCTCCAGGCGACGCTCTACCTCCAGCCGGCGATTCCCCTCTGCGTGTCTTCATGGCACGTGGCGTGTGCCCTCGAGGCAAGTCTGAGATTGATTTTGAGAAAGATGGTGGTTTTTCGATGTCTGACGTGTTCACGAGTGCGGAGTCGTCGATGTGTCAACTCCTGGTGTTCCCCGCGTGCCTGCTGTGCATGAACGTTCTGATGATGAGTCCGGTGTCTCGAAGTTTGGTGTGTCTACTCATGATGTACCTCGCGTGCCCGCTGTACTTGAGAGTCCTGATGAAGTGGTCGGCGTTTCGGAGTGTGATGCATCTGTCCCTGCTGTACCAAGTGTGCCTGGAAAGGTAGTCGTAGCCCGTCTCACCCGCCGTCCCACGGTTGAAAAAGCTTTCTTGTGCCAACCCTCCATGCCGAATCCGATTGGTAGTGAACAATGGCAGGCCGATTCTGGAGCGAGTGCAATGATTTCGAACAAAGTGGATGCAATTTACAATGTACGCCACTTGGGCCCGGATGAACAATTTATTCAGATCGGAGACTCGGTTCTCATCAAGGTTGCCGCTGTAGGGAGTTTGGACCTTAGGTTCCACCAAATCGGAGCCGACGGGAAACAGGAGGATTTGGACGTCACTGTGCCAGAAGTCTTGTTTGTACCCGGGTGTGGTTTCAACCTTTTTTCGGTATGGAAGGTGTCTCACAAGCATGAGGTCCGTATCAACCCCAACGGTACGCAAATGATGCACGGAAAACTGCGTTTTATTCGTGGCGTTTCGAGCGATTCCCTTTTTGCAACCCGCCTTCCCCACAAATCCTTACCTTCTATGGACGTTGCGAATGAGAGTGCCAGTGAGAGTTCTTTTTCCCTTGTGGCATCGGCTCTTACAGCCGCGATGGATTCCGATCTAGAACCCCCCCGTGTGACGGATGCTGTAGCGGAATACTCGGCGAAGATGATTGATGTGTGGGAGAGTGAAGAGTGTGAACGCGCCATGGCTGTGTTGGGTCCGGGGAAGACACCTTTCAATGTCGGCGATGCACAAAATGTTAAGGATATTAAAACGTTCCACAACCGTTCCGGCCACTTGTCCGAACCCATTTTGAGACTGCGAAGCAGCACGGGATAACCCTCACGGGCACGATGGACAGCTATCGATGGTGCTTGCCGGCGCGTGGGACGAGGGCGACGGTGCCGAAGCAGGGGGGCGGGTACCGCGGCAAGAGGGCGCCGAACGACGTGTTCCACATCGACCTCTGCGGCGCGTACACGGCGACGATCGGTGGTAACCACTACATGCTCTTCGGTGTGGACGCCGCCACGGGATGGATGGTCTGCTACGCCATGCGGCGTAAGTCGGAGGCGCTGGCGGTCGTCAAGCGCATGGTCGTGGATGCCGCCCACAAGGCTGGTACCGCGATCAAGTGCATCCGCTGCGACTGNGCGGCATGCGGCGTAAGTCGGAGGCGCTAGCGGTCGTCAAGCGCATGGTCGTGGATGCCGCCCACAAGGCTGGTACCGCGATCAAGTGCATCCGCTGCGACTGCGATGTCCTCTGGACCAGCAGCGACTTCAAGGAGTTCTGTGCCAGCATGGGGATCGCGCTCGAGTACTCCCCTCCCGGCGTGCAGCAGTACAACGGCGTCGTCGAGAGCGCCATCCAGAGGTGCCTCAAGGTGGCCAAGGCATCCCGCCGGGCCGCCCAGGAGCTGCTTGGCCCCGCAGGATTTTCTCGTGTTCGCGGGCTGAGTGTTCGTGGCGATGAGGCCGCAAAAGACGCCGCGCAGAAGCTGAACCAGTCAGCAACTCCTTCCAACCCCGGGGGTGCGTCGCCGGAGGAACTCTACACCGGTAAGGGAGGCCCTTTTCCCCTTGATCCCGTTCTTCCAGTACGGTTTCATGTGGGAGCGGCCGGCAACGAAAATGGACGACAGGGCCGTGCCGTGTTTTTTCCTCAACGCCGGGGACAACCACGCCGACGTCACCGTTAAGGTGCTCAAGGAGAGGACCGGCCACGTGTGCTACACCTCGAATGTAGCGTGGGCGGCGCTCCCGCCGTCGGGGGGGGG